AACACAGGCGTGTCCATGGGAAATAGCCTTGTCATGACACTAAGAGAGAGAAAGCGAGCGCCCAGTAGGAAGGCCAGTGATTCATTTGCAAAGTTAGTGGGCTATAGTGCCATGATGCCATCTTCTTTTCAAAGCACAATAAAAGAAGACGCATGCTCATAAATCAAACAGAGTGGAGGGGAGGGGAGAGGAAGATGAGAGGGAGGGCTGGTCCCGTCGTGCTTAAGCCCATTTACGCCTTTATTATTCATCCTAAACAAATATTATTCCGCCAAGTCTCGGAGGACTTTGGGAGAAGAGTGTGTTTTAATAATGAAGCCAGCTTCTGATAAAAGCACCCATTCTACTGAGTCCCGTAGGCTATTCACATCCACTGCTTTGCATGACTGCCAGTACAAAGGCAAAGCAATGCCAGCACTATACACTGTTCTTAATCCACCAAGACGCGCTAAGGTTTAAAGGAAGTTATTGTTGCCAACGGTATACGTGGCTTGATGACAAACAAGTTCGCAGAATCACTAATGGTGATCCCTGTGCTGAACCCACACCCTTTCCTGACCTGGAAAAATATCAATCTGGGTGAATCAGAGGCAACCAGATCACACTGAAGTAGCCACAGCATACATTTGCCATAGATTCCATGATACTAACAGATAACAGACCCACTAGGCACATAAGGTGACCGCTTGAGTGTTAATACACTGCCCTAAAGTCGGACCAATATAACCAATTGTACTACAGCCCATAGTGCTGAGATAATATCATGGATAGCATTAAAAGCATACACCAAAGTGATGGACAAAATACTTTGGTTGAATTAAAGGAACATTTAGGAGATCATCACAGTGATTGTTTATGATTATACTTTGGTAATTATAGGTGTCTGTACCATGTTTCATGCCAATTTATTCTCTAGTTTTTTTATATATATTTCAGTCTAGACCTAAGAGGCAAACCATCTGACTGACATGGTCAATTCATGAGCTTTTAAAAATTAAGGCTGAAATGTTAAATGCAAATAAGAGACTCGCAATGTAAAACTACTCTAGCTACTAGCTATTTTTTAGCAGAGACACACAGGTTGGGGGAGTGCGTAAGAGCTGGAGCTTAAGCGTGAAGACTCAAACTATCAGCTATCTAAGTTCAAAACATCGAGGAGCACACCTGCCCATAGTTACCGTTTGTTTGTCACTCTTGCAGGACACACAGGAAGTCATGTCCTGACCCAGGCAGGCCAGCTTGTCTTTGAGGAAACGTCTCAAACTGAGCAGCACAGAGCCCAGAAACAGGTCCTTCTCCTCAGCCTCACAGTCAGAGGGCCAGAACCAGTACATGGCCAGGAGGGAGCACAGGGCCTGGGCGGGCGACTGGTCCCGCATAAACAGCTCCATTAAGGTGGTGAGGTAGAGGCCCGGCCGAGGATCTTCATCGTTCACCGTTGGGGCTACTATTGGTATGGCTTCAACCACGGCTGTGCCAGGAACCAGAACCACTGGTGCGTTCATTCCAGTCAGATCTGGCTCATGTTGGATCCGGGTCCTTATCGGTCCCTCCGGTGCCCCTTGTTCAAAAAGTTTGTATCCCCAGCTATGTCTTTCCAAGTTGTTTACAAAATAATGGACTGACGGAAGCAGGCAAGCATTAACTGTGCCGACAGCTTTAAGCCCAGATTATTAGCCTGCTCCTGGCCAGATGGCAACTGATAGGCTTAGTCAAAACACACCCACGCACACACACATAGAAACGTACCTACATTTACCCCACCAGACTCCCATTCAAAAGGCAGACACACATACCAGTCAGGTAAAGATTGGGAAGGGGAAGGTTTAAGCGCAAACGAAGATTGAATAATATTTAAAGATGATGATATATATAATATTGGAGGCATCTTCTGTATCTGTTTGAAGTCTAGGAGCAATGATGTCAGGGAAGAATAGAAATTGAAAAATTCAACCTAATGGTAGTCACACGTTTTTAAACCCCTCTCAGACTACACTCGCCCACTGACACATGGGTAAAAGGATGGGTGAGTCCAGGGGTAAAATAACCTGCCGCACATTTGGAGGTCTATGAAAGCCCTCTCTCTCTCTCTCTCTCTCTCTCTCTCTCTCAGACAGACGACTGCTGCAGCCATAGCTCTCTTTATAAATCCATTGAAATGCTCTTACTGAAATATCTAGTCTGGACCAAAGCAAAGAGGCTTAATATGTCTGTCTGCTGTTTAACCTTTAGTTTAATACAAGACTTGCCTTGCTACTTTATAGAGTTTGAATCATACAGTATGATTGCTATTCATAGGATACAACATTTCATAGTGTTTACTACATAATAGAATGTGACACCAAAACAACATGGCAAAGGTTGTGAGGATATAGAATAAATTAAATTGGTGTGGTTCATTGGGTTCAATGACATGACATAAACACCACACAAGGGTTGGCCGAGTGCCAATTCAATTAATTGACAAATAATTACAGCTTTACATGAAACCTGTTTTACTGAATACATCAAATGAAGCAACTGGAGATTATTGGATCACCATCACTGATCTTTCCTCTAAGGACAACTTTATTTTTTGGGAACATTCCAATAAAAAGGTTCTAAAGAGATATTTAATCAAAACCAAAATGTATTCAAAATACTATGGCTGTCTAAGAAAAACAGAAAATATTCCCATTTGAGAAGCTGGAGCCAATGAACCTGGTGACATGTGGTTAAACCAGACTGTGCCAGATTACTTCCCACGTCCTTCCATCTGTCTCCGCCTGATATGCTATAGATGTGTGTGTGTCATCACATGTCTGTGTGTGGCTGTATTGACGACGTTCCAGCCAACAAATCCACATCAAGCCTCAATCCAAGTCTTTCTGTTGCTAAACTAGTGGAGATTAGGTGAGGAACAAACAAAGTGAATGCAACAATTCTGGTGTTGCCTATAATGCATCCTTATGACTGCATTAATTCACCAATGCATGTCAAATCAATTCAATTTGAGCGGCCTCGTGGGACTTTTCCGGGACCAATTCAGTTGGCGTCCGCAATCGATTGGTCAGGCTTAATAATGATGCAGAAATGATGCGTTAAACCAATTGCTATGGCTCCTTATAGCAAAATGTATCATTAAGTAACTCACAGGCACAGGAGTCACAATCAGTATCCAGATGGTAAACAACATGGGTACCTGTGCATAGTAAGCAATTCACCTGAAAATCACACCCAAACACGCTGATCTCTCTTGTGTAATAAGCCCAAATTGGAATTCAACGGACCAATTAATCAAAGGTAGTCAGTCGAGTGAGGCGGCCGATTACAAGGTGTGACAAGAGGCTTGAAATTAGACTTTCCTTTCCATCCATCTCTATTGACTTTCAGAATGCCGTGTGCACGCATGTGTGCGCCAATATGCTGATACATGGCTGATTTTCTTCCCTGTGACTCGATTTCTTTCTCTCCGGCCCAGAGGACAAACTGATGGCCAGGCAGTGATTAAATTCTGCTCTTCGTGACAGCAACAATCTGATTCACCAGCACCAATATCTCTCCCTGGCTTTTTTTTGTATCGGCTTCACAGTGGCTGACTTTTCCCCGATAGAGGCAGAAAGCTTTTTCACCTTTTGTGCCTCGAAATGTGCAGTGACACAAGCGCACATTCAGAAAACCCCGCTCACACATATACACACACATTTTTCCATTCATTCCTCAGTAAAAGACAAACGGCAGGGAGCCGAGCAGCAGCAGTAGTAGTAGTGGTGCAGTGCAGATCACAGCGGAGTGGGACCTGCTCGTGTCGCCGGGCAAACAATAAGAGACCAAAAGAGAAAGAAAAGAAAGAGGAGAAGAAGAGGGCAATTTGTCCTCTGTAATCCACCCCATGGCTGACCTCGGGCCAAATACTGAACTGCATCTTCTGACACAGGCAATTAGTATAAAGCCCTTGCAATTAGAGATAGTTTCTGGATATTTGGCCTGGATTTAAAATGAATCATTGATGAAACAAGCACAGCACGACTGCCTATTTTCATTTTGATGATGAAAGATAAGGTAAATATGCATGAATGCACACATCCCCTCTCAGTTCAGGCTTCTAGACAGCCATGTCTACATCATTAACACGCAGCTCTTCGTGGCAACCCCACACACTCATTAACGGTCCCAATAAACAGTGGCACACACACACTCTCCCGTGTTACATTACCACAGCACTGAGGCGTAATTCCCCATGGGACAGGCTACTGCTCAGTTTAATGACTTCAATAGTGTTGGTTTACATATCAAAAAAGGCTGACCAGATATTCAACAACAGACACGACAGAAATAGGCATGCAGGCTGCCATAAATCATCAGGGACGACCGTTTGGCATATTTATAGAGGAGATATTTCTCTGAAACTGCAATGAGAGAGTACCTATAGAGTGTACCCATATTCCTGATGACTACAGGCATCAGGAATATGATGAAAGCAAGAAGATATCTTCTTTTCTTAAATATATTCATTACATTAACTGCTGTTGCTTTATATGACAGCTATGTATATTTGGGCAGAGGCAAAGATGACAGAGGCGTATTCGATTTGTCATGCCATCAAATGCATGTATGTATGTGTGTGTGTGTGTGTGTGTGTGTGTGTGTGTGTGTGTGTGTGTGTGTGTGTGTGTGTGTGTGTGTGTGTGTGTGTGTGTGTGTGTGTGTGTGTGTGTGTGTGTGTGTGTGTGTGTGTAGGAGGCGGTGGCAGGACACAGCCCCTTCTCTCAGTCTGCATCCTGTCTGTGTGACAGTAATAAGCTGTGTTGATACCGCTGGCTATGATGGAGTATCCTAATTATGGTAATTCTAAGAATTGGTGCCAGTTTGGTTTCTGACAACCCCACAGCTGCCACTGTGAGTGGGCACAAACACACATACACACACACTCAAGACAAAAGAAACACTATGTTTCTATGTCTAGCAGACAATAGGAGTACTTTATTTCTTGCACTCAGACACACTCAGGCTCCTCCTACCTTGCTGTGCTGAACGGGCCTGAGTGCGCAGTGGGAGTGACCGATCTCTAGTCCTACATGCAGGGACTCCGCACCGTCAGCTGCAGTGCACACATCTGGAGAGAGAGGGGGGGGGGGGGGGGGATTTTTAACATTAGTTTTAGCATCACTCTGTGTATGTGTGATAATGTTTTTGCTGCCTCTGCACTATTGTGCTTTTATGCTGAGGCACATACTTCTACTGACCATAATACACAAACAATGCTGGCTAATTATAGTCTAAATCCATCATGGGCGTCTGCCAGTCGCACAGAACTAAAATATGTCTCCTATTTACAAATGACCCTGGCATTCAGTCATCCCAAAAAAGAAAATTGGGCAATCATAATTAAAGACTACTATCTCTTGCCTTGTTTCACTAAAACAAACAACACCCTCACATTGTCTTAAAGTCACATTTCGCTAATACAATGTTTATTTGCATATAAGTCTTCTGATAGGATGACATTATCAGATTGAGAGTTTCGAAAAACATTTTGCCCATTCTGGCTATCTCTCTAAATTCAAGGACCCGAGGACAGACTCTGTAGCAGTTGGCACATGAAAAGACTTTCTTCCTGATCGTAGCCCGGGAGGAGGGCCAATGTGACAGCAGGAAACAAAAGGAAACTTCGAGGGCTCCTGTTGTGCAGAACTTCTCCTTTTTGAGGTGCCAATCATCGTCAAACAAAAACGTCCGACTGATAATACAGAGATACAAAAGATATGTATTTATCTCTTTTCTTGTACTCTCTATTCTTTTCTGAATGAATCCAGATGATGGACAGTTGTCATCAAGGACTGCCATCCTGAAATCATGTGTGACAAACAAGTGATCATTTCCCCATTTGGTCTGGTTTTGCCTCCCTGCCTCCTCTATCAGCCTGCCTGGGATCATACGCCCTCTAGAGACCGAGAAGAGAACTGCAGCCCTTTTGATCACACCACTCTCTGTAATGAGGCCTCCAAGTCATGAATCCCTCTGTGTTCAATTACGGCTGTAGTGGAGGAAACTCTAATGAATTACAATCATTAAGATGACGCTAAACACTTTCTATGAAACTGGCTCTTGTTTTTGACTGTTTTTGCCAAACAATGAAATAAGCCATAATGAATAACGCATTGGATGTTATGCAAATGTGACAGAGAATTTCAGTAGTCTAGTTTTGGCATATTTTATCAAAAAAAGTGTTAAAAGGTTAAACAGAGGGGTAGAGTGCAGTTTGTCAACCCCTAACATCCTGTGATAAAGATCGGCAAGTCATTATAATTGCTTTGACTAAAAAACAAGTCTCTGTTCACCGTGACTCTCACATTATAACCACAAAATAACCTTGAAGACATTTTAATTGTTATAAAAAATAAAATTGTCCCTCTCTGCTTTTGTCAGAACATTTACACTCTCATTAGCTCAACCTTTCTAAAACATTTTTGGAAATACTTGTTATTAACTAAGGGACAGAGAGGGGCAGACATCCACTTTTTCAGAAGTGAAAATAATGTGGGCATCTGGCCTGTGATTTAGATTGATCACAAAATGTCTAATAAAAAAATTGAACCAGTAGTTTCCAAGTAATCCAAACAAGCCAATCTGATAACATAACAACTGAGGTAATGAAATGGCCAAGTTTCCTGTTTTCTATTTCCTTTAAAACACCAAGACACATTAGCATAACTGTTGTTTAAAACTAAGGTTATCATTTGTATCTAACCCGACATCATATAAACTGACCCAAATCATAGACTTGTTGATACCAAAGATGTTGAGGTATATTTCCCTTACCGTTTTAGAGTGAGGCGTGAACAAACAAATTGTATCCATACCCGCTGGGTCTCAGCTGTGTTTGTCCGGCGACACGGACGACCTCCCTGTTCTGTTCTGACACCTCGCCTCTGCTCTGAGATTAAACCAGGCTGACAGGATACTATACATTCACAGCGATAACGAGCCCTCTGCGGTCAAAAGCCCCGTCTGGGCTTTTTCTCTCCCCTGGGACACGCAAAGCTGTTTTAAACTGGACCTTTTTTTTTACTTCTTTAATCTGAGTAAAGGGAGTCACTTTTGAGGAAGTAGTGATCAGAATTGAGATCTTAACTCGAGCAGAAGTTTGGTGGCTGCTTTGTGGTTTAGGTGACAAAACGACCTATTTCTCAGCAAAAACGGCTCTTGTAAGCGACTGAAAGTGACTTTAAGGTTTAGATAAGCACAACGCCTGACAAGGTACAGATTAAAGGACAAAGTACAGATTAAAGGACAAAGTACAGATTAAAGGACAAAGTACAGATTAAAGGACAAAATACAGATTAAAGGACAAAGTACAGATTAAAGGACAAAGACAAACCTGATCCCAAAACTAAAATATACAAAAACAGAAAACTGTAGGGGTAAACTGGACATTAGCAGTGGCAGAGACGGGGTGTTTACAAGAAAAATGACACAGCTTGCTTTCAGAGAAATTGTGAAACTATTCTCTTCACACTGCATGTACGCAGAGATGAGACGGCACTCTCTCGATGGGTGTGGCGACCATTTCTCAGCAGCTACAATTTCTCTCTTTCATTGTGTGTCTTTTTCTCTCTCTCTCACCACCTGTCTAACAAACTAAAACGAAAGGGTATCACTATCAACTTCACTTTCCATTAAGTGTTGTCATTAAGTGAAAATCTATAGCCTCTAATTACAAATGGAACCCCACTAATGACCACATCTATGTGTTTGTAGCTGGTTAGACGCCGCGTGGCTTTAAGCACCTGAGGAGGACTTGGCTCGGTGGTGCTTGCCGCGGACCTCCTGGTTGTGAGGAAGGGTCAGGTGGTTGGAGCCCAAGGTTTGTGACGAGGGTCCATCCCGCCTCAGGCTCAGGTGGAGGGTTTGTTCAGCAAACAGCGTCTGGATCCGCGTGAGGTCCAGGGCGGACACACAGCGGCCGTTCAGCACCAGGATCTCATCGCCTGGACGCAGACCTGGGAACACACACAAGTATGTTTCAGAGAAGCACGTGGAGAGGCCACACAAATCACATGTGTGATCATGAGACTGGAGGTTTCAGGATTATTTCTGTCCTTCTTAGACGGTATAATATGTCAAATATCTGCATTGAAATGTATAAAAAAGACTAGACCTACAGTATTGTAAAATGTTGTTGAGTAGGTACTAAGGTTATCACATATGTCCCAATCCGTCACTTAAATCAAGGTAACTGTCTGTTTCATTTGGTCATGTGTAATGGCATTGCATCTCCTAAAAGCTGTGTTAAATTTGAGTTTTCATCCAGTTTAAGGACACATTTTTTAAGACACTTTAGACCTTTTACTATAGTCAAGCTGATTTTTAAGGCTTTTAGTCATAAGGGACTGGATCTTGAGTTGTTGGAGAAACAAGCTGAGCAAATGTAGAAGAATTGGAGAACAGCATGCTAATTCAAAATGACAAACACTCTGTTACTGTTTTGATTGAAAGACATATGTTGAGCACCTGCGTTGAAAGCCAGGTCATCAGGAAGCACTTCGCTGACAAAAATCCTGCTGTTTCTCTGACTGTCTATGTGTCCTGTTACTGCAAAACCTGGTGGGAGGAAGAGAAACAAATTGAGACGATTAGAGTGAATACCGACAGATGGATTACATCATTAAAGGATCATTAGGAGGACAATACAATTACAGACATAACTAAATCAGTCCGCATGTTGTCGACTCACCAAAGTCTCCGGTGGTGCTCGGCCTGCTCATGTGTAAAGTGAACACATTAACTGGGACCACCTCCAACTGATCATTGACCTACAGGGGGACATCGACACACATTAAACAACAAGCAGATAAAGATGGTCGCTGTGTGTCCATGTGTGATTCTGCCCTGCTCACCACATCGCGGAGGAGCTCTCCAGGAGCCACATCTCGGACCCCTGCGCCCTGCCCCTCCCGTCGGTGCAGTCTGAGGCAGTGCAGGCCCTCGTCCAGCTGTTTCACCTGTTTACACAAGAGACCCTAATGTTCAGCGGCCTGCATGCACAAAATGATCACACATGTTTCACGCACCAACGCCTAGTCAGACAGCTGCTGTGTGGTCCAGGCGTGAATTATTCACCGGTTTTACACTTTTTGATGAGAAATTTGCGGTAAACAAACAAAAAAAGGTCCGCCACAGGGGAATGTGGCCTATTGTGTGTGTACGTCAATATCTGTGCAGTCAGTGAAGAATGACTGAATGTGTGTGGTATTTCAAACGGGGCATAATATAACCAAATCTGCTGCTGCAGATGCTCCAAAAGACAATTTAACAACCTCACAATTCTTATTTGAATGTTGTATTTACATGTAATGCAACCCCACATTATAGGATGATACACATGTTTGGCATTAAGTGTGAATGGCAGGATTATGTCAAACACATAAAGACCTTCTAGAAAGCTAAATCAAATGACATGACTGCTTTTGTTTGTTATTTCTGCAACAACTGTCAGGAGTATTGTAGTTGTATTGTGGTAACATGTCATCATTTCCCTGCAATTGGTTACCAAACCAACCTTGCAGGCAGCAGAGAGAAGGTCGGCAGCTGTCTGGTCTCTTCTGACAGGAACTTGGACTGTCAGGCCGTCTGGCATATACACACACGTCAGCACGTCTGTGGCAGCGCTAATGCTGTCCCACACCCTGCCCTCAGGGGGCGACATGGAGTAGATGTTGCTCAGCATGTCCAGCCTCTGTGGGAGATGACAAGAAGGCAGGGTTAAGAAAGATAAAAGGAAGGGAGTGAGTATCATTATATGGAGGAGAGAGGGTAAACAGAAAAGGGGGAAGGAGGAGTTACAACACGGGGAGGGAGGGAGGGAGTAGAAGTAACAGCACACAAATCAATACCCTTCCATTAGTCTAAAAGCTTGGCTGTGGATCAAGCGGCGGAGCAAAGATGTCATACAATTAGCCTTTCAGAAATTCATTTGACAACATAGACGGCAGTTGATCCACATAATGGTCACAGTAATGGCAGTGTACACAAGCCGATCGGCAAGGGTCGAATGGCAGGTCTAGACGTCCAGATGATATCCGCACATTTATTTGGTTTGAAAAGCCACCAGTCATTTTGATTTAAGTGGTGTATCAGGGCAGTTTATTTGAAAATCAGTCAAACTTTCAGATGAGAAGGTAATTATTTGTTGGTGGCGTTAACAGTGAGGTCTGAGCTGGGTATTAAGGTAGGGGGGGGGGGGGGTTAGCCCAGTGCTCAGCCTCACAGGCAGCCATTTGGGAGTTTTGGTCACGACTCTGTGTCTCTGGAGGGAAAAGCACCACTGCTGTGTTCAGGGGCTGTGGGAGACGCCACAGTGCAGCCTATCACCGCAATTATCAAGCCCCAGATCTTGAGGAATGGCTCAAACACACTAAATGTACTGAAACCCACGTGGGTTAAAGAAACCAGAGGATCAGCACTTCTTACAAAGACGGAACGAGTTCTCAGTCATAATGAGACACTGGACCAAGAAGAATAATTGCATGAGTGAACAGTTCTGGGTGTACAGTGATGTTTTAAAGGCATTATGGGATAATACAAATCAAGAGGTGTGTGTGGCAGCTCGCAGTTGATGCATCACCACAAGAGAAAAACATTTGTTTTCCCTGCCAGACAACGAGCCTAAAAGGGACAAGTTAAGGTCTCTGATTCAGAGCATCGCTTAGCCCAACACAGTTCTGAGTGTAGCCTGGATAAACACAAGCAGCACAGACAAACATTTGCTTAATTTGTCTTCTAAATGTCACCTTGACTAGTCTACTTCAGGAATCAGTACCAAAATAAAGGCCACTAATGTTCTAACCTAAATGTTTCCCTAACCAGTTGGGATGGAGGGACGACAAAGTGCCACTTCAACACCCACCTTGTCTGCGTATTAGGGATGTGAAGTCATGCTGACAAACTGAGGATAAAAAAACAAGCAGTCATGGCAACTGGTTGCAAAAACCACCTCACTTGTGTCTAAGCAACTTTGTGTGACCGGAAAACTAAGATTTGGTTTGACCTGCCCAGCGCGTGACTAACACTGAACACTCATTCATGGTCAGAGAGGGTTGTGACGGACCAACGGTTGCCTGGTCAACGTTCCATCAACCACTGCCAAGAGTATGGTGAGGGCACGCGCTGGACTTCAACAAGTGCTCTGTGTGGTAAGAGCATGTCTACTGTATTTATGTTTGCATCCATCAAAATAATTCCATACTTCAGTCTTTCCTCTCAAGTTTGGAAATTATTTCCAAGCAAGTCGTCCTCCACCCTGCAGCTTCTAAAGATGGAGTGTCGGGCGGTTCAGTGCCTGCTGCGCAAATACACCCTTTCTGTTCCACTTAGCAACCGGCTAGCACACATATGACAGCGCTGCCTTGAATAAATAGGGTGACCATGAAGAACAAACAGTTGAAGACAATTTTAGCCAATTTCCCTATATTACATCTATTTAAAGAGAATTACTCCTCATTTCCTCAAAACTCCACCCAGGTTTTGAGGTTTTCCATGCGCTCACACACAGAAGGTGACAATAATGACCATCCATACACACTGGTGTCTGTTCTCCAAGTTAAAGCAGTCATGTGTATAGGGGGGTAGTGGAGTGTGGTGAGAGGTGGTAACACAGAAAGAGGAATCAGTATTTCATGGACAAGAATGGCGGGGTCGTAATAACCAGCCAAAGATATTTTAAAAAAGAGTGAGAAAATATTTCACCTACAAAATGGCCATTTGCGTTGAAATAACTTGTGCTCAGAACTTGCCAAACATTTACATTTTTGCTGAATCACTTTCTATGTAAAACACTAAAAAAAAAAATAGACACAAGTATTTCATATACAATCGGTCAATTTGTGGGTGAAGTAAGCCTTTAGCCATATTTACATAACCCTGATAAACAGTAGCAGGCATTTGTACGTTTTTGTTCAAAGCCAGCAATACGTTTGAAACTGAGTTCACGTAAGTCAAACATTTATGTGGTTTTCTGGCAGTCAAACTTATTCACTCACTCCACTGCTGACAGAAGAATTGGGTATATGGAGAGAAAATGCCTGTCGATGTGAAATCCCTTTTAACCTCTATGGATGCCAGGACAGCCTCTGTGTTATTGACAGCTTTCATAAAAACATTTATCTCTCCCTGCTTTATGCAACAGTCCCAACCTTACAACTAGACAGTGACAGCCTGTTGAAATATAGCTTGTTGGGTAAAATCACGTAGAGGATAGCAGAGAAAGTCTTGAGGACAAATATGAGCTATACGAGAGAGCACACAAGCCATGCAGCTGCAACGAAACACATTAAAATGTACCCTTCACTTGACTTCACTTCAAGGGATTAGTGGAATATGCTTGCTTATCAGCGTAATTCAAGGGATTTGAGACAACTGGGGCAAAGTCATCAGGACTGAGATGAAGACCTGTGTCGACAAAAATCAATACATCCGTGCTTTCTCTCTCTCTATTTCCCAACTTCCCACCCTGGGGTATTAATCCCCATTAAATCAAATGTATCCTAGTGAGCTGTTTTCCACATCATAGGGTTTGTGCATTATAAAAAACATTAAAGCGTTGACCCAATGAAGGCCATTATTGTTTCCCCAAACCACTTCCTGTTCCAAGTCCATTTTTAGATCCTTAATGGAGGCAGTTTCAACACTCGCCACATTCACCACACACTCACACTATGAATCACAGCATCCTGCTCTGTCTTAAAGCGTCAATTGTCCTCATATGTCCGCGCCAGATGTCTGTTCATACAGAAATATGTTTGATTTGATTGAGGATAAGATTTTAATGATGGGTCAAAATACACTTTTAATACCTTTGTACATTTTCACTGAAAACATCCTCAGAGGCAGAAAACATCCTCAGAGGCAGAACTTCTGTATTAAGCTACTTAATTAAAAGATGCTTCAGAAATACAAAGCCTCGTCAACAGGTGGACCAAAATAATCCACAATTTAAAGGAATAGTCTATGTATTTTAGAGAATTTTTGTTGAGAATTAGATTAGAAGATTAATACCCCTATAATGGTTGTTGGTAATGAAGTTCCGACCAGTAACTAAGTGGTTAGCAAAGCTTAGCACAAAGACATAAATATAAATAGGTTGAAACAGCTAGCCTGGCACTGTCCGAGTGTTAAAACCAGAAATGTCTATTTTCCCAGGAAATATTAATTCACTATCAAAATGATAAAGATCGAAAGATTTAGCGAGCCAATTAGTTGGCCCTGAAGATTAGGGTGGTCCTTAGTGCCATGTACATTTTCAAATTCATTTATTTTAAGCTCAAACCACCGGAATTTGTTATGATAGTCAAGAAAACTCTCCTGGTGAATTTTATTCAAATTCCAACAACATTTACACCTCCCTCATCAACCTTGAAGTTTAGCCTCAGTAGGGTGGTCCTTAAACCCCCCCCCCCCCCCCCCATCGACCTGAGCTGCCACACCAGCAGCCACGGTGCTGCAACTGAGGCTAAACTTCAAGGTTGATGAGGGAGGGGTAAATGTTGTCAGATTGAGGAAGAAATTCACCAGGAGAGTTTTTCTTGACTAATAGAATGAATTCTGGGGGTTGGAGCTTATACTTTCCGACTTTCAATTTTAAGGACCACCCTACTGAAGATTCTGGTTAGCACATTTTGTTACCTTTAGCAAGGCTAGCTGTTCCGCCCTGATTCTAGTATTTATGCTAAGCTAAGCTAACTGGCTGTTGGTTGTGGCTTAATATTCAACTCACAGACAGGAATTGCATATTAGAAATATTTCGCCTAATATCAAACTTTTCCTTGAACGGATCCCTCTGATATACTGCAGTCAGATCAAGAGGAAAAATATGTTAAAGTTTCAGGACAGCGGGGGTTGAGCTCTAGCTTACTTCAGCTTTACTTATTTCATGATCTAGGCATGTAATCACCCAATAACATGTGAATGCTGCAGTTGGCTGCTCAGATGGGCATCATTCACACTCTTCAATCATTCACCACTTTACTTTCCCATAAATCCATACACTCATGCTTTCAAGCACTTCTGGTCAACACTTCAGCTCAATACTCTCCATTAACTCAATTATGCCGTGAATTAGACGCATGTCCACGCTGGTGTAAAAATCTCTTGTTAGATATGCTGTCGATTTCTCTTTAGGACACCTGCAGATCAACATGAAAGGAATCTGTGCTTTGATCCTGGACAAGTAATATACACAAGCAGACACACACACACACACACACACACACACACACCCTATGTGTACAAATATATTTACTCAGTGTACTATCAAAAGGATGAAAGACAGCAGAGGTCAAAGAAACAGTAGACATGTCTCTACCACGGCTACTTCATGCTGAAGCGGATAATTCAGCTCATAAAATCTTACCACTGACAGATGCTAGTGGAATTTTTAAAAGATATATCAAAGATCCACAAACCGTAGAGGACAAAGTTATAGAGCGCTATGACTCACCTCAGTGCTCCTGGGAGGCAGGGCGTACGTTTGACCTCCAGCGTCGCTCTCAAAGATCTGAAACCAAGAGACAAATAGTTAGAAGTGCAGACAGAGGGGCACCACACTGATTCACTCATGAGCGATTAGGTCCGCGGGAACTTTTGCAACACAATATTAGACACACACGGTGCTATTATGTAGTTAATTAAAAACTACGTGTGGCGAGTGCAGGGCTTTGATACTGCCAAACAGGGCCGTAGCCTTTGAAGGTGCAATGGTGGAAATGTGGAGGGGGGTGTGTATGGATAGAGTGGTTTCTGTGTAACAGAGAGATGAAAGGGGGAAGCAGTCCGGTTACAGATGAGAGTAGGACACGGCCCCCCCTTTTTCCATCTCCACACCTACCCTTCAGTGTAGAAATCTCTCAGTTCTTGATCCATTCCATCTTCCTCCACCTCTCCTCTTCAGATCCCCTTCCTGGCTTGTGATTGTAAGGTGTGTTGCGTCAGTCTAAGCTCGGAGCTGGAGGTGACTGTGGCCTCAGAGGGCTTTAACAACTCTATAATACAGCGGTGACACAGAGTCATCCGTTATGTGAGGGTGTAACTTCAGCCCTTGCTCAAAGAGGCCGCAGTTATCAGCTTTTGCTGAGATACTTTGTCATTGGGAAGGAGAGGCATGATGGGTGGCACAGCTGGTGACAGAAATAGGGCATTTTGTTCTCAAAACGGGGTCTGACATAAGCCCAAGGCTGCCGAGTTGAAGAATTGGTGTACGGAAGAGGCTTGCCGACTCCTTCCCCTTTGCTAAGGATAAGAATTACTTTTCTCCAAAAACAATCCAAAGAAGTCTCCTTTACAACGAGGGAAAAACTCGCTCGCTCCTGTTATGGTAGTAAGAACCCTTATCTGACCTCGGAGCAGCTGAGTACAGTAACTCTCCCTCCAGTACATTTATAAAGTGGCTGTAAACAGTGCTGCCTCGCTGTAAACTGACTAATTTTAGAAAGCTTTACCAAGTCTCCCACAAATCCTCGAACCTTTCTGGCCTACTTCCCGCAGACGACTGCCGGCCAGCTCCTTACTGTATACAGAGCAGGCCTAAGACGGATGAGATGAGAAAACGAGAGGGAAGGAGATGGGGGAGGAGAGAATAACTTTAGGGCAAGGTTGTCAAGCGCAGTGTTGTAGTGGTAAATGGGATTTAGGCTTAGTCAACACTGATGAGTCAGTATGGAAACTGTGGGTGAAGGACCGCGGGCTAATGCTAATGTTGATGCTCTAGGAAACAGGAGGTTTGAAAGAGAGGATGAGGCTAAAGGGAATACATGGAAAGTTACATGGTGAGATACATTGGGGGAAGGAGTTAGATGAAACTCTAGCTTTAGTAGATTAAATAGGTTGGATAAAGGCACAAAAAGGATAATGTTAAGGGATAAAGAGAGTCAAAGGGAGGATAGAGATATTTAAAAAATATTGGAGAAAGCACGGTCTGAGAACTTGAGAAGGTAACAAAAGTGGATGGAAATAGTTTGGCTCCTCAGACGGCCTTGCGGTCCAAAACCTTCTCAAGCAAACAAACACGTGTCTCGTCAGTACATGAGAGTACAGCCAAGCAGCTGATGATGTCATTTAAAATGGCCACAACGAATATAACTAACACAATGAATCATCTTTCTCTTTTGCGGAAAAAAGGAAAACAACACAAAAAGCAGATGTCCAAGAAAACCCAGCACTGAGGAAATGCCTTGAAGCACTCGGGAGGTCATTTTCTGTTCTTGTAAGGAACTAATGTAAAGCAAAAATACCAGAAAAGCACCAAAATGGTCTTGTAAGAGCTGGGGGGAAAAATAAAGGGAGGCTGTTTAATATTTAGCGTCTTTTCATTGACCATCTGCTGGTGTCTGCGGGGATGAGGAAAAAGTAGAGAATGCCATCTACCACATATGGCTCTCAATAATTCATGTGTGTACTGCAGCGCCACCTCGGCCTTCTGCACTGCGAAACGTAACTGGGCCTCATTAGACCGGCCGGCTGGAGTTCCCCGGGAAAATAATAACACACACACACACACACACATACCTAGTTGCTGACAGACGTGTGCAAAGGCCCAAATATAAATATCACAGAGCAGGTGGTGGATGTGTGAGTTAGATAAGAGCAAGCGAAACAGGACAGGGAACAGGGCTCACCTACTGCAGAACACGATTGGCTCTTAACTGTTCTAATGCCAAACAATACGAGACCCATACTGGCTTCACAGCAAAACAAAACCAACCCAAGCTATCTCTCCTTTCCTTTACTTCCTGCTAATGAACGGCGGTCTATAAAAGACAGCGCAGATGAGTGTATCCTGTGGCGATTCTTAAAATAAACCACCAAGGGGGGAGTTTTCTCAAGGGCCGTGCCTTCTGGGAAAAGAGTGGTGAATCTCTGTACCAATAAATAACCAGCTTGCATGGGACTAATTACTAACCTGAGAGGATGAGACCCCCCCCCCCCCACTCTGCACCTGGGTAAGGAATGCCCCTCTGTGTATATGTTGATGGGAGGTGTGCACTCGGGAGGGGAAGTGAGCTTATGTGCTTCTAATTAATAAAATCTCCTTAGAGAGAAAATTCATGACTGTACCAACCTCTTGCTTTCTTTCATGCCGTTGTGCATGTGAGTAAGCAATAAGGCAAGGTTTCAGAGTGTTTCATTAAGGAATATGCTCAATGTGCACTGAGGGTGTAAGTATCCCAGTTTTTCTCCGCAGTACTTCCCGAGAGACTGAGTGCAGTATAGCTCAACACTGTGTGCACGCATGCATGCGAGTTCTGCATGCTCATGTTATTGTGAGGGTATTTTCCCCTGCTGAATAAATTAAGTGGGTGATCCTGCATTACAAATCTGCTAATCCAGACCACCTGAGGAGTTTCATTACTCTGGGATTCAGAGGAGATGATTTAGCGTCAGTTCAAGGTGTAAGTGCCTCCATCGGGCTGACAAGAATATTAAAAAAATCACTTGCAAGATGTTCATAATGTAATCTTCTGTCCTATTTTTTATAAATGTTTTGATCATAAAGAAAGATTTTCAATAAAAGCATTGAAAGGAAATGTTAATACTTTAGTGATACTACTGTATATCTAGTCTCTTAAACGTAGTGCTATAGGTATTGGATGTTAAAGGGACTTTTAAAAATGTGTTAACAGCCTGCTTACAGTATTGCATAAGGAACCGCAAATCATGACGTGCTAAACATTGCTACTGGTAGCATTTTGATACCAATACTGCATGTAAAGCACCTGTATTGTATTATTTAAACAACACTGAGATTTGTCTGTGTGTAGTAGTAGTACCTGCGATGCGGAGGGTCTCTTGTCCCGTCCCCTCTTGGTAAGGTTGTCGAGGCCTTTGAGCGAGGAGAAAAGTCCCCTCTTGCGATGTCTGTACGTCAGGGACAATGAACGCCTTCTGAGCGTGGCCTCATCTTTGGAACAGATCTGAACAAACACGCACTATCAGAACTGAAAATCATTTAGGTCACCCAAAAAAAAAATCCCCATCTAATCAGATTATCTTAATTAGGTGTGTTTTCCTCCAGGAATGCATTAAGGGAGTGTTTTCTGGATGTTTTTAGGTTTAAAATGGTTTCTGTTACAACATCAAGTAAAGAAGTATCACATTCAAAAGGGAATGTAGAAAATGCCCAAAACTGATTGTGTATATAGCGTGCATTTATTTATTAGCCATTCATCTTGTCTGAGAAAGCCTCTCACCAGTGCATGGAAGGAGGAGACAGAGAAGATCCCTAGGCGTCCCAGGGTGGATTTGGTGGGGCGGCTGGCGATTGCCAACAGACTCTTTGGGTTGGGCAGCTCTCCCCCCTGTAAACTGGCCAGGTAGCAGCGCATCCTGAACAGATCCATGTTAAACCTCTCCAGGTTCTGTTCCCACTGCTGGATCTGAAGGAAGGAAGGAAGGAAGATAATTACTTTACAGATGCTGGATGGGAATTCGTGTTTGTGTAACATTGTTGGTGGGCAGCTGAGAAAAGAGAGTAGAGGGGAGGTAAACGAGGAGATGGGAGGAGGAGGGGGAGGCAGGAAAGGGAGAGCCAAAGAGGGGGATCCAGGGTCAGCCGAGGGATTTCCATCAAAATGCAATTGCTTGCAGATGTTGATGCAGGGCGAGGGCACAAATGTGTGGAGCGTTGATAGTGAGGGTGGGACTGAAAATCTAGCTCACTAAATCCGTTTTTTTTATGCAAGTCAAGAGAGAGTAGTGATGTTGCCCAGACCACCAGTTAAACTTCCACCCCACGCAAAAACACACACACATTTTACAGTCGTTTCCCCCTTGTCCCCGTTATACACTATGTAAGCTATGAGAAAGGGCTTATTTTTCTTGGCTGGAGAGCGGTTTTAATGAGAACACTCAAGTTAAACAACCCTCTATAACAACTGACTTTAATAGGTCTCGTCTGCACTGTGAGTTCATTTACAATAACGCACCCTACGGCGTGGTGCTATTAGCTCTCATTTACATTGATAGCATTCTTGAGAATTAGGAGCAAGCTGAGGAGCAACATGGGGGCGGTGTTTATTTAAACTCTGACTTTTCAAACTTCTTAAACAAAGAACTTGGACAAAAATCAGCACAAGATTATACTGTTGGATATTGTGTACTAAACCCATGAAAACAGCTATGTACGCAGCTGTGCTGGGGGCCATGGTTAACAAGCCTTGAGTCAATGACATTCAGCCATTATTATCATTCCAGGCTTGGACCATGAGGACGACTGCCAGGAATCCAACATGCTTTGTGTAAAATATGACCTTGCACATCCCTGGAAATTCAGTATGGTAACATTCAAAGTCGATTTTTTTTTTTTTAGCCTTACTTCGTATGAAAAGTAGCTTTTAGTGGCTAATGTAAGCTAACCAATGCTAACTTGATGACTCCTTTTTTAGGGTCACATGTTTTGGCTTTAAGCAAAACCCTGTAATTGTCAAAGTTGCCCAAGTCATCAAAGTTACACCTTGTCGTTAAACTATGGGCTATAATTACCAGCTTATTACCAGCTATTGTCTGTGGACTCAACCCAGTCTCACGGCATTTCGTGTTCACCAACACGATTTTTAATCTATTGATTCGTGTTCCCCAACACGATTTGCCCCTTTTTTTTCTTGTTGCACAGCACGATTTTAAAAGCAATTTATTTCTATTGCCTGCAGCACGTCTTTTTCTCCGATCGGGTCGAGGAAGACCTGAAGCTGTGTGGTTCATAAAAACATGTTCTTACTCAATATCAAGCCACAATTATTGCTTTTATTTTAAATCGTATAATTTCGGACTTTTGTTGCCGTCTGTGAGGAAAATAAATGGGGCTCAGAGCCACAGAATACTGAAATCTGTATTTTTAAATATTTGTTTCCTTCTAATTTGTTATTCTTTTCAAAAATAACACACTGTTATTTACTCACCAATAACACACAATTATCCTTGCTTTTATTTATTGGTTTAATTCCATAATCTCTGGCTTTTTTGGCGTCCGTCAGGAACTGAATTTCAAAATAAAATATCCGGAAACAGATGTAGGACTATGGGACATTTCGAGCGTCATTGCGATTGTCAACCTTTCTGAGTTTAGGATGGCCGAAGACACTCCACTACCCATAATCCCCAGCTATCGTTTAGGACTACAGTCCCCCGTAAGGTTACGCAGAGCGTCAAACAGCTGTGTGAAATGGAACGAAACCACGCCAGACTATCCAAAACTGGAATCGAACGCCCCCCCAGAACTACACATGCTGGCTATTGTGTTTCGCCAAATGTTCTATGGGACGTCTCTACTGAACGTTTTCGTTTTTCCCACAATTAGAAGTTGCCAGTATTAAACACATTGGCGTTATCAAATGTAAAACTATTATATATTATTTATTATAATTAATAAATGGGTGAAAATCGCTATATATACCCACATGACAGCTCATTGTTACTTTGTAATTCTACTCCACTACAATTCAGAGGTTAACCTGGTATTTTTACTCCACTGCATTTATTTGAGTTACTTTGCAGATTCTGATTAATTATGTGAAATATAAACAACCCTTAAATCAGACTTTAGTTACACCTGAGTAAAATTCAGGGAAGGTGATTGTCAAGTGCCAACAATCAGGAGAGATAGTTGATAGTTGGTGCTTGAGAAGACTAAACATGTATCTGCAATTGACATGAATGGAAACGAGTAATAAAGTATATTCATTACTCGTTATTCTCTACTAATAGTTAATTAAAGACTGTATATTATGGCTATTTTGCACATCCCTTTCAAGATTTTCAAAGGTTTATTGACATATCATATACACAACTACGGTGTAGTTATGCAATGAATGAAACACTTGGGTCACAGGTTCCTCAACAGTGCATTACAAGACATCTATCAATATGTGTGTACCTCCACCATTAAACTGTCATATTCTGCACATTTCTTATTCAATCTACATACATACGAGTATAATTCATATGTATAATATCAGTTAAAATAAGTGCTTCAACATAGTTAACATTGCAGGAAAGCAATATATTAGACGTTAAGTACTTTGTCAGGCTTAATATTTATCTGTAGATAGATACCCCCAACGTTTTTTTCTTATTTAAAAGAAGACCTTAATCTGTTATTTAATGTTTAAATAAAGGTTAATTCGTTTTCTGTTTTGCACCTCCTCCTATTAATATCTTTGTACATGCTGCACTAAACTGTTTTATTGTAGAGATCACTTTATAGTATCTTCTTGATTTTTTATATTCTATATTTCTATATTTATACTTTCCCCCTATGAAAGTATGTACTCTTAATATTTTTTTAATCAAACACAATAATTCAATAACGTGCTTTAACCACTAGATGCACACAAGGTACACAAATGTTTTCCGGATTTCATATCATATAAACACCAAATCCCAGCATGCATTGCGGCTAAAACATCCAATAAACGAGCTTAAAACCATAGCTGAGGATCTTGGGTAATGCCTATGTCCGGTTATTTTTATTTTGAAATTCAGTTCCTGACGGACGCCAAAAAAGCCCGAGATTATGGAATTAAACCAATAAATAAAATCAAGGATAATTGTGTATTATTGGTGAGTAAATAACAGTGTGTTATTTTGAAAAGAATAACAAATTAGAAGGAAAAAAATACAGATTTCAGTATTCTGAGGCTCTGAGCCCCATTTATTTTCCTCACAAAAGTCCGAAATTATACGATTTAAAATAAAAGCAATAATTGTGGCTTGATATTGAGTAAGAACATGTTTTTATGAACCACACAGCTTCAGGTCTTCCTCGACCCGACCGGAGAAAAAGACATGCTGCAAGCAGTAGAAATACATTGCTTTTAAAATCGTGCTGTGCAACACGAAAAAAAATCGTGCTGTGCAACACGAAAAAAAGGGGCAAATCGTGTTGGGGAACACGAATCAATAGATTAAAAATCGTGTTGGTGAACACGAAATGCCGTGAGACTGGATTGGTGGACTATAGAGAGATTGTAGGCATTGTAGCACATGTAGCATTAGCATAGCTTAGCATGGATCTTTCACATTTTCACTCGGCTGAACCTGAACTCAAGACCTTTTACTTAAATCCTCGCAGTGAGTAAGCATAACACATTTTTTCAATCTATTCTTGGGTCATTATGTATAACAAAGTGTTCTGGAGGAGCTTCGAATTAATTCCACTGAGTGGTTTGAGATGACTTCAGATGGGGAGCGAGGTATTACCGAGTAAATCAGATAAAAGCAAAAAGCAAAGACAAATTTAGGAGAGGTGCTGCTTTGGAAAAACTTACGTCTATGTATAACTATCACACAAGATCCTAGCATGCTTTTGGATTTACATGCCATCTGGATCTGTTTGTCAACACTTGAAATATCCTTTAACCTCTTCATTCAGCGTTGTTCTAAAATAGTCCTGTGCATAAAACTTGATTTGATGATTCATGCTGGGGTGCATCACTGATAAAGGCCTACTTGCAATCTATTGCTTCATACAGCTAGCGACTTGAAAGAGAACGGGAAGACAATCAACCAAAATCAGTGCAAAGCAGGGCATGTTTGGGCCCATCTGGCCTGCGTGCAACACTTATTTACATTTATTTCAAAGCTATTAAGCTCGGCAGATATGAGTTTGTCTTTTAGCAGATTCTCATCTCTTCTTATTTCCCCTCTTTAAAATCTGCCCCTGGCTCTCTGTTAAAAGCCCTAATGCGAAATATCTCTTTCAATGCAACTTGATCGCAGTGAGTGTGCGTTGAGCATGAGTGTGTGTTCAAGCAGTCTTCAAAAGAGATCTACTGGCACTGATTTCGGTACACATGGGTGGGGGAGGGGGACATCAAAGTAATGCCCTGTTGGCGCTAGACAACCCCACCGAAACCTTAAATCTATCATCAGCCTTGGGCGCCTGTATCAGAGTGCTGTCCCGTACCCCTCTGACCCTATCATTGACTCCAAGCCCGTCTGTCTCTTTGTCTTCTCTGAGGTGGCACACAGGCTAATGGGAAACAGATCTGTAGTCAGTCAGTCTCGCAGGCCGGCAGTGACATCTCCATCTGTGATTACTGCGGTGAGCTGTTCAGCTTCCATATTGCCTGTTCTTTATAATATTATACTTGTATTACCTATCAGGCCACTTTAACTCAAGACCAAATAACAGCCCTTCCAATAAGTATACATTTTGCTTTGCTGAAGTCAGTGCACAAAACTGTAGCTATGCAGAGCATTAGTAAGAGGCCCTTTAAGTCAATGACCACCTGAGTCAAAATGGCAGCTGGATTACCCCGCATTCCCAGCAAACATCATTTTTCTTGAAAAAGTATTAGGGTTCTTGCTCAGATAGAGATTATGGGCTTTCTCATACCCATCAGTAATCTGCAGTACTGTATGTAGGCTACAGCCAAGCGCTGGATGCTTTGGATTCCCCCCCGGCTGTGTGGAGGAGGAGGAAGAGGAGGAGGAGGAGGAGGAGGAGGAGGAGGAGGGGGAGGAGGAGGAGGAGGAGGAGGAGGAGGAGGAGGAGGAGGAGGAGGAGGAGGAGGAGGAGGAGGAGGAGGAGGAGGAGGAGAATGCATGTTGAGAGCCCATTACCAGGAAAACATCTGGAATCTCAATCTGATGCCCGGAGAGCGAGCTGCTCCCATGGGCCCCAGCGCGATGCGTTTGGGGACTGATGCATTTAAGCTACTTCGCCCACCCACAGACAAAAATAACGCACAGGCTTGTCACCACAGTAGAAGAATCGAGAAAATTAAGTAGGGCACATCATGTTGTTGTTACCGTATCACGTGGAATGACGATACAGAGAGGATTTATTTCAAGCAACAAAAGAGATGCTTTACGCCATTGAAATATGTCACAATGGCATAACATGTAAGATGCAATAGAGTCCTAAAATATTCTCGGTTTTCATTTTCGATTCAGCTTGAGTCTCACTGTCCTTATCATTATCGGTACCTCACCTGGTTCTCAATTGCCTTGCGGTTCTTGGGGTCGCTGACCACTGTCAGCTGCAGCTCGGCCATCTTCTTCATCTTCCCGTCCATATCAATCTTCTGCAGCAGGCCGCGGACCTGGCTCCGCAGCAGGCGCACTGTGTCCTCCTTCCCCTGGCGCTTGGCCAGCAGCGAGGCGCTGGCAGAATGGATGGCTGTCACCCAGTTCTCCAGGTCGGTCTGGTTGCTGGCCTGTGAGGGCAAAGAGTGACAGGGAGTTCGATTTGATGAAGTAGAAAGTCTTATATTACCGTTAAAAGCTGGATTCAGAGAAGCAAAGCTTGATAAATCTGCTAATATTGCCAATGCTCTGCTATCATATTATTCTACCATAGATCAGATTAAAATCATTGTGTGGTATGCAGGGCTTTGCTGGATCAATAAAAGAAAGCTGGATTAACGGCGCCTCTATGAGAAAGCGCAGGTTGTGAACTGTTGCTGATATTAAACACACATTTTCCTTGTTAATGAACCGCTCTATGACTATTTCTCTGTCTTTATAAAGCGATTCATTCAGAGGAAGCACGCCAGGTGACAATCAGTTGAACCTCCTTTCGATTGAAAATGACTCATGCTCCACAGGCCATGTAAGTTGAAACAAAAAAAGGATGAAACCCTGCCTGTCTCCATGCTAAATTATTTTCTCTCTGCTTGCCTCTGGGGCCATGTCAGCTCCACACAGAACTATTTCATTAGATGTAGGTCTGGATGCCACGACACACACTGCGGTCTAGGAGGCTTGTAATGGAGGAGGCTACACGGAAAAGTCGAGGCTAGGAATGGATTTGGAAGCGATATGTAGGTCAGTAAGCACAACGAGCAAATAGGATGTGCTCTCGGACCCTTTAGCTGGAAAGTCACTGCACTTTTGGGCCAAAATGTGTAATTTCACGAGCTTTACTCTGCATTTCAAGAAGATGCTGCATACTTCTGTTTGTTACCTTTGAGGTTTGTTAAATACGTTTGCTGTCATCGATGAAAAATTCAAAGTTCTTAAGATTTATCAGCAACCTATTTCCGGGAAACTTTCTGTCAGGAGCAATGCTATCACCTGGAAGAGGTAGACGTCTCCATACGAGTTGCTGAGGCAGAAGACGTTCTCCTTTTTTGGGTGCTCGGGGACGGCCTGGACGATGCTGTCCTCGGCCAGGAGAGCATAGCGAGGGGACATCTCACGCTCCGGAGAGCCTTTACTGTAAGTCTCGTAGAACAGCAATGTACATCCTGGAAGAGATGGGTAGAAGACAAACACAAAGACAGAGAGATGGATATAAATGTGAATGAGTAAATGATACAGAGAACACCATCAGGTCCTGTTTCTATAGACTGTTGGAGTTTGGTTTTTTATCACTTTTTTTTCCAGACAAAATGTGCTTTACATACTCTCAAATAGCCACAAGAGTGTCTTACTATTTTTTTTTTGCAGATTCAAAGAGGTGCTCTTCATTAAATACTCAAAAACAGTGTTGTGTATGCAGCATTTGTGTCCAAACACACATTTGGTGGCCTAAATTAAATATATTTTGGCAGAAGCAACAAGAGAATTTCCAATAAGCTTTTAGGGTGGGAGGGAAGGACCATCAATCAATGTCAAGCGTGACTCCATGGTCAAGGACATGAGTGTTTTAAGAGGAAAACCCTGTAAACAAAGATAAATCCACCTGCTTGGATAATCTAATTACCTGTGAATTATTTAAGTCGGCACATCCTTTGACAAAATGTAGAGTTGCATGATGTTTCCCTCACTTCGTGCCAGATTGAAACTCACCTTTCAGGGTCACCCAGTACTGCTTCCACTTGCGGCGGGTCACTAACTCCAGCTTCCGGTCCTTGTGGAGGGTGACTAGGGGTTTAAAGGAAAGCCAGCCGGCCCGTCGGACCACCCCCTGCTCCTTTTCAAACAGCATATCCAGCTGCTCCAGGGAGCCCTCGGCCGACTCGCTGCTGCTCTCCCCCTCCTCGGTGCCCGTGGATGGGTCTCTCCGCTCACAGCGTTCCCCTCCTCCCTGACCAGTGCCGGTCTCCAGCTCCCTCATGAAGTTCTCATAGATGTTCTGGCGCACGGCATCGTTGGCCGTTTGGTGAATGGCTCCTGATGATTGGGCCCTGGAGGCCCCGGGGAACCAGAGGAGGCTAGAGACTTGAGAGGGGGAGGTGGTGTCTACGGTCAGCCCATCAACCCCACTATCGAAGGCATCGGTCAGGTCCTTGTAGCGGGTCTCCTGGTAAAGACAAAGAGTTTAGAAAAGGTATGAGCAGAATAACTTTGTAGGGGTAACATGACTCATGTCTCTTTGATTCATCACCAACTTGTTTCGACATTTCAAAATGAGCTGACAGATTTATTGTTTCCACCTATTCAGAAACGCATCATAATTTCTCCTAAATGTACACACCTTTGAATTAAACAGAAGCAATGAGTTGACATTGGGAAATGTTCAAATCAAGCTGTGTTCCTTTCAATTAGCCCCAAGGCATCACAAAAGTGAAACTTTTGAAAAAACATAATAGTCAAACCTAGTCGAACCTACTTCAAAGTCTGCATTACAGTCTAAATCTTTTGCGAGGGCTGAGAAAGTGGGACACATTTCCTGTGCCGGTACCTGGGAGGTTGGAACCCTTCAGGCTCAGACAATTTCACATCATTTGAGGTCTGCTGTGGCTTCCCAACTCCCCAAATGAACACTTGATGGAATTGCACTCTCATGATTAGAGACAGCCTACCTACACTTGACTAGATTGCAGCATTGATTTTGCCCATGGCAACAGAGCGGAGTGCTCTCAACATGCAGACAGAGAGTGAGCCGTCATGCCGGAGCTCATCTTTGTTTGTTCCTGTGTTTCACCCGGTCTTGTGAATGTTTTCTTTACCCTTAATACTATTCCTATTGTTTAAACTTAGCAAAAAAAGTCAAGTTCCCGAAATAATAGGCAAAGACTAGAACAGTGCTCAAAAGCATTTAAAAATGATGCTTATACGGATTATAGTATCCTGCAGGTTTCTGTTTAGCTACGGGACAATGAACCCTTTGAACCCACAGCGTTCAGCTGAGGACAACCTTCCAGCCTGAAACACATAGTATTTGAGTAGTAAAGACATAGGAAAATCTCTGCTGAGCCAAGTTTGGATTTTTTTTCTATTTTCCTTTAGCTGACACAGCCCTAATTTGCCCACCCTCTCCCAGTTCTCTTCCAGCTGTGTTTCATTAAAGGCAGGTTCTTGGCCTTTGGCTTTAGAATTTGTGGCGTGACCTTTAAACCCACAACAGAGTCCTGGAGTTCAGGTGGAGGGGAACTAGAGCTGGAGGTGCTCCTGATTTTTGGTCGAGCTGCTGACAGGAGGCACTGAGTATATTCCACAGAGGTTTGGCATTCAACAAAATGGCCCCCGGAGAACAGAGGAAATTCAGTCTGAAGAGTTTGAAGCACCTCTGTGATTTCTAAGAGGACTTGTTGCAGGACTTGTCAGTCGCTTGTAAAGAGAACCCCAGGCATCTTCTTATTTTTTTTGGCAATATTGTCCCCAATCTAACTTTTTCAAGCTTCAATAGAAATGTAGTCTTCTTATTATTTATCTCTAAAACAGAGCCCAAATTGTTTTAAGTCGCTCACAATATTTGGTGCTGGCAATTCATGTTTTTTTTCTCCAAGTAATCACAATCTCTTAAAGGTTTCTTGAGGAAACAGGGACAAGCCTTCCATCAGCTTTGTATCTGGAGAACAAAGATTGATGTAAATCTGCAGGTGCTAATCTGCCCTCGAAAGGCCAACACATGGCCATAGATTAGCATGCCATTGTGGCTAGCAGTAGATTTAGAGGCAGCCATTACTAATATAAAGTGAAAGCTGTGCAACACTTAAAATAAATACTGTCAGTCCAGCGCATATTTGTCAATACAGGCTGGAGTGACAGCGTCAAGGCAAACTATCACACATATTTCACTCGGCATTAGCCGCTGTTTTAAGCACGGGGAGAAAACTAATTCTTCCTCTAGCGAAGACGAAAATACCATCTGAATACACGATTGTTCTATTCTGGTTTGTTGTGAGACCCAACTGACTGAACACAAATCCCGATTAGCAGATTTATTCTCTGAGGACAACGGAGGGGGAGCCCAGAAAGTCTGCATCACACAACAGCCAGAACCACCAGAAGTCATTCATTAACATTAGAGGACGGGTGGACTTAGTTTCAGTCTAACAGAGCCTCTCAAAGGCTTACAGCTATTCTCTTGGCAGTGCCCAAACAGTGTTCTTAAAACATTTTAGAAGGCAAAGCTAATCGAATTAATTCAGAAACAATTGCTTACAAGACTCGAAGACATGAGTTCAGGCTCAGATCCAACAAATGTTTTATGTCAAATTAAAACCAATTAAGAATGTAATGTTTGCACGACAAAATCACATGGTTCCTCGAATCATGTGCACACAACATGCAGACAAGCTGTGGTTATTTCCAACCTCTCATCTGACCCTCATCTGAATGGTACAAGTATAATTTTACTACAGGGAAGAAAATATATATCTGCTCTCTGCTCGGTGTCCCGTGTGTTAGTAATCTGGCTCCATTCCAAAACGCCTATGCACTTCAGGAAGAAACCTTCGAAACCTTAAATAAAATTAAAATGTTGGACTATTGACACCTAAGGTTATGTACATCCGACTGCAAAAATACACGCTAAAAACATTAACATGGAACAATTCTGTACATTTTACAACTAATAAAATACAATCATAAAGCACTTCAGATTTACCCACCAAGATATAGTCATCATGAAACCTGCACTGCAGCCCTGAACTCCTCTTCCCGGGAGAATCATCCATGTCTCACGCTTTGTAATAGAAAGTACCTCTCATCCTTGTTCCATGCTCACAGAAAACAAACAAGACCCAGAGCTGGCTGGCTTACAAATGTCATTTTGTGCCACCCCACTGTGGCCTGTCTCCGGACAGCTGGTGTTGCAGTGCTGAAGAACTAAAGGACGGTGGTCGGTTCCAGGCGATGCCAAGACCACCGCTGTGGCAAATAATCTTTGCCAGACAGGAAACTGTCTGTGCGTGGCTGTTACTGATGCACTCTCCTGCCTAATAAACTGTAGCTCTAAGGATAGTAGTGAGTGCAACACAGAAGACCACAATTAGAGGGGGGATACATTTATCCTACGTGTGTTTAAACTATAAGGGCTTTAAGCTATGGGGTAACTACAAACACAACATCTATGCAACCTATGCTTTACATACCATGTTGGTAAGATCGCTGTGTGAACCCTGTGAGTGATAAAGAAATGTAGATTATCAAAATGCTCCTTACTTTGCCTAATTTTTTTTCTTTATTAATGGACAAGTCTTGTATCAGAAACAAATTGTGATATTTTGTTGTTTTTTGTGCCTCCTAAGAAAAACCAATAAAATAAAAATATTGAGAAAAAAGCTCCTCACAAAACTAAAGATGTCACCCGAAGACGACTCACCTGAGACTTCCTCTTCTTGCGGCTGAGGCTTCCTGTCCAGTCACTGAGGCGCCTGATGCGGTTTTTGATGGAACCTTTCTTATGGATGCCGAAATCAGATCCAGCCTGCTCCTGTTCAGGATACTGGTCCAGTTCCTCGCTCATGGTATGGGCTTTGGGCCTGCGACAGGGCAGGGTATACGATGAGTACTGACAGGCCTCAGGAGGCTCTTCCTCCAATGGTACGTCCAGGACTGATGCAAAAGAGGCCCTGTGCGTCCTATGGCCTGCTGGAGGCTGTTGTAAATGGGAGGACAGGTCTCTGGCTGAGGGAAAAGTGGCAGCCATCGTAGAGTCCTTGTAGAGGTCTGCGATGGACACAGGAGGGGACTGTTTAGTGAAGGAGTCAAGCTGGTGAGTGGGGGAGTGGACCAGTGTCCTGCTGGCAGAGCAGGGTTGGTCCTGCTCACACAACTCAGTGCTGGGCCCCCAGGGAGAGTCATACCAAGAGCCATCAGAGCTCAGTGAGCTGCCCTTGCTGGTCCTGGCCGTAGAGGAGGTAGAGGCCGCTGGGGGACCACCATGGTGGCCTTCCTGCCGACTACCACTTGAGCCAGGCAAACTGGGAATGGAGGCGGACTCCATGTTGGGAGAGAACTTGAGGAGTTGTACGGGGCCAGAAGCCTCATCCAGGAGGAGGGGGTTGCCCGAGGTGTTGGTGAACTCCACCCTGAGACTGCCATCCTTCTTGATCACCACCCGTGGGCTGCTCTGTTCCTCTAAAGCCTCTTGATCATCACTGTGTCCATTCAGGGTGCATCTATTCAGGTCCGCCCCATATGGATTTTCTTCATACTCATCTGACATGTGCCGCTTTCGTACTCCACATCCAGGCGATCGATGCCAGCTTTGTTGACCTGGGCTGCCCCTTGTCCCCTTCGAGTTGTAGTCATAGTGCCTAGGGGAGTAGGGCGGCCGGTTTTTAGGAGGGGACAGACAGCCTCGTCCAACACACCTGGCCTTGTACCCCGAGCCCAATGGTGCACTTCTCCACCACGTATGGGGCGACAGAGCGTCATCTTTGGATGTGCGGAGCTTCAGTGTGTAGGGCTTTGGTTTTCCAGGGACACATCCGGTGCCTTTTGTGGCCTGGATGCTATATTGGCTCTCTGAGTTTCCCATTTCTGCGTGGAAAAAAAGGGATACAAAACCATAAGGGCAAGGAAATTATGCCTCTGGAACATGCATGGCTCTCACACAAAAGGCAGTAAAATATATATGACATAACGCCAGCTCATCAGAGACCTACAATTAACTTATTACTCATAAACAATAATGACTACAGTCCCATAAAACCATACAAAATCGTTGGTTGTTTCCAGTGTAAAACAGCAGGTCTAATATCTTCCTTATGTCCTTTAAAGAGGATAACTATAAGTAACTCTATCACTTCTGGTCATTAACCTGTATGGTCCATCCCCCTCATATTTTACTACATTTGTCTTTTTTTTCAATAGAAAAGTCATGTCAGATGAACAGGCTTTAAGCTGTCAAGCTGTTATGCGTGACAGAGTTCGGAACAATGTGAAATCACTTTCAGACTGTCCACAAAACTCTTACATTAGTGACGGAGAGCCGTGACCAGACAGACATTTTATTCCAGGGTTAATGCTATAGCAGATAAACTGCTAGGACACTGTTGCTGGTAAGAGACTGTGATGTATCTGCAGCTGTGGTGAGGCTATGGACCTTTAACATGTTCTCAAATCTCTGAATTAGCACACTAGGTAGATTAAGTTATCACTTTACAATACGAACACTTAAGTGTTTAGCTACACACCCTAGGGGAAGGTGCTGAAGCAAAATATAAAAGACTGAATAATGAATATTTTAAATGGACCTTTATATTTTAACATCTATGGTTGCTATTATGAAAAGAGAGTTGACAGATTTGAATATGTAGGCATATCCCAGGGACACATTTAAATCAATTTAATAATAATATTGACAACCCAGATAAGAAAGACTCACCTGTCTGAAAGTCTCTTCTCAGATTGGATCTCCTATGTGCGAGGGTCCCTCCGCCTCATCCCAATAAACTCATTCCCCGGTCGTCTGGCACATCTGAAACACAGGGAGAGAGAAGTTGACTAAGCGCGTCTCTTTCTACAGACTGTAATTTACAGCATGTAATAAGCTCTGTGTTTGATAACAGGTGTGCCGGTTAAAGAGTACACCTAATCCGCAGCATTTGAGAGAAGACAGTGTTTGGTACGCAGGCAATCTAAACAGGGTGCAATACTGAAAGAGCATTTAAGAAGCATCTTTCTTGCAGTAGTTTGAGAATCTAGAAAAAAAATACTTTTTGAGAAGGTTGGAAAAAATAACTCAGCCAAGATCCCGGAAACAAAAACATTTCCTCCCTATGAAGCTCGAGTGAACTTTACTCCAACCAAGTTAGCAGTAGTATCACATGAACTGTGCTCTGTACTACACAGTACAGTAGTGCCACCCTGGCGCTACAGTAGGACTAATTGAAAAAGTCACTCCACCCCTCCAGATTTCTCCTCAAACAGTCATCCAAACCAAACATTAGTAGCATTTTTCCACCTTCCCGCAAGTAAATGACGTCGTCTTTGATCGGGGTTGGGAACGTTTTTGAAAGCCGGCAACAGTTTACCCGTCTGTTTATTTTTAAACTTTGGAATCCTAGCTTACTTTTTTTTTGTTTCTTGTCACTGCCAAATTTGTCCAGGGGCAGCATCCAAACCCAGAAACGGCTGAGGAGCGCTCTTTGCAGAGGCACCAGGCATCTTCTGAGAAGCAGTGAGTCTTGTGTGTGTAATATCACCCGGTTACATGCATGTAGCTCACACTCCAGGAAGGCTTTCAAATAGTGCTAACTCCACTAAGCCTGGCAGCACATGTACAGAATGCGTAAGGTTACAGTGTAAACACCCCCTGCCAAAAGCCCTAACCTTCAGGATTAAGTGATCTGCAGCATTAAGAGTTTATCTGCTCCTGCACCTCCACTGTGAGGCCTGATTATATAGTGTTTACTGTTAAAATGGACTACAAAAGAATGTGTTGAATATAATAAGTTGAGGGAAATTCCAGGGGGACTTGAATATTCTAAAAGTAAGGAATACGAAGTTCAAGGACTGACCTTTAAAATAATCAAACATGACAAGGACACAAATTAAATGAGTCTCTCCTTCTTTAAACTCTTTGGAAAGAGTGTGAAAAAGTAGCACTTGGATGTACAGTGGAAACTTGGCCAGAGACATGTTGGCCTGGTAATGAACTTGACCACTTTGAGCTGATCATTGGATTAACCAACCCTTGCTTTGTCCGTCATGAGTTAAATGGTAAAGTACTGATACAGGGAGAATTGGTCTAGGCACTATAACCCAGAACCAACCAACCCAAACAGCTTTCTTTCACGAGCACACAACATGTCCAGGTTTTTCTTATTAGTTGAACTTGGGCTAGGGTTCACATTGACTATAGGCAAATCCAGGCCAATGGTATTTATGGATACATGTTCAACAGCACATGACTGTTCCACCTCAGCATTTGAGCCCCTATTAACCTAGAAACCTCCAGGAAACCTGGCATATTTGTTTTCAATTCCCTATTTGTTGTGCATCTTGAAGACAGAAAGTGAAAGGCAAAATTACTCTAGTTCCCTGTATGAAAAAAACGTATATAAACAATGCTCTCTTGAGTAAAGACCAGGAAAGCAGCTGCCGACAACACTAGGAGTCAGCATAAAGCTGGTTGTCGAACTTGTCAGAGAGACTTCGTTCTTTGAGCGCATTTCTCACAAACTTCATTCACACAGAGCAGGGTTGTGTGTGTGAAAGGCTTAAAGGTGAGCCAACACACAAACCTAAAAAGACACACACGTTCACATTCTGCTGCAACTTCAACTGCAGTATAGTGCGACTGTTTTGGGAGAACAACAAGACAAGTCTTCCTTTTAGCTGCAAACCCCTGCACCCAGTCTGAACCTCCCTTTTCCCCTTCAGTCCTCTGTTCTCCTCAATAGGCTTCCTACAGGCCATCTGCTCAGGGGCCAAGGGACCACTGCCACCCTAGTGCTCCTCGACACACCCCATGACCTGGCATTCTTCTCTGGCTGCCCCTGGATGTCTCCCACATAAGCTTCATGTTTAGTCTGGCACCGGGTGTATCTTGGGTCTGCAGTTCAGGCAACATGTGAGGAATGGGCCACACCTCGACGCGGTATAAACACAGAAGGTACATGGTGGCATTGTGTTAAGGAAGGACCTGCCTTTTTCCTACATGAAGACCACCGGGGCATTTGGTGAACAGAAGCTCCATCAAAGTCTGAAGAAGCAACTTTGCAAGTCCAACCCTAATGCTCTTGAATCTAAACGTGGGACCAAAGCTGAAGGAACAAGCTATTGACACAGCAGTGTGAAACACAGGGCAAATCCCAAGATAACTTAGCCTCACAGTAATTTCATGATGCTGTAAGTGCAGTTTTTTTTACTTACTCTGCCATAGAACCTTGGAAATACAATACATGTTCAACTGTTTCCCAAAGGAGAACAGTATAACAGCAATGCTAAAAATAAAAGGCTAACACAGTACTTCTGATGTAAATAAATAACGCGAATAGCGTGTAAAATAATCTCATACAAAATGACATACCAACAATGCTTTATAATGAATTATAATACTGTGAACTAGGATCTATGAGGTAATGTGTTATTGGAGGTGACTGTTAACACAATCACACTGCCTTCCTGCTGTCAAAATCACAGCCTATGGGACTTGTCTCTTATCACTTTCCTTTGGCACCCTGACAACTGAGCTCTTAAAGGAGCAGTGCCCTTAAAGACCCACACTTTAAGACGCAGCTCAGAATTCAAACGTATGCAAAACAACCACACACACTTTCTTTCAGGACAAAAGCAACAACAGGAAATGAAGAAGAGAAAATAGGGGAGAACATTCCCCTTCCAACTGAGCTTTTGTCATATGAACCAGATTTAAAGCATCTTGCGGTTGTTTGCTTGTGAGGAGAAATGTCAATCTATGAATCACTCAATGAAAGCCCATATTACTGAGTGGTGGATTCAGCCAATGCCACCAAACATCCATCAAAGTGCTTGTTAAGTGTCTTTTGGACTTTTTCATTATATATTGAGAAGCTCTGTGTCTGGCTCATGACCAAGAATGACATGGCAGCATTCTGTAAGATTTATACACGTTTGCCCACTGGCATTCCAGGGTGATGCCAAGAAAATTTAAATGTTTCCAAACACTTTTGTACAATGGGATACCACCGAGTTAGTATCAAGCAAGTTTCGCATGAGATAAAAAAAAAGGTATGTTAGTTAAACTCAGTTATTCTCATGCGTGAACATGAGTCATGGATAAACATGCTGACAACCCTGACACACACTGAAGTGATAAAGTCTGAGATTGTGAGAGTCATTTTGTTGTATCTTCAAGTACAAGCAAGGTAGATCACCAGAGCTTAAGCACATACTACTATCTAACAGTTTCAGGTGGAAACTAAACCACACTCACACATACAGAGTAACCCACACCTGTGGATCTTAACAATAGGAAACACAATGCAACCTCTTCACCTTAGCCCCCTCTTAATCCAGTAAATAGGAGAAACAAAGGGAGAGAAAGATAAAACACAGAACCCATAACATCCCTTACCTCTGTGGCCCGGGCTTTCATCTAAAAGCTCTTTGAACAGCTTGCAAAGGAGAAGTCTAGCTGGTGGTCTCTGATCAGAAAAGTGGATTCTCCCTGTGTCTTAAAGCAACATACACAGCGCAACTGACTCACACGCCCAGACACTCTGGAGGACACGTGGAAACTCCCTCCCGGCATCAGCAAATCACAGCCCTCCTGGGGTAACCCTGGGTAACGAGGAGCGCCAAGAGGAAAAGCAAGGAGGGCTGGGAGGAAAAAGTGAAAAGTTCTCAACAGAAGAGCTCTCTCAGAAAGAGAAGGATGTTTTATAGCTCTCATCCATTTAGAGTCTTCGCTGCTAAAAGGCTCCACTGCTCCACTGTGTTGTTTTTCCTACATACTGCTTTTCCGTTGGCGAGGAGGAGGATGCGGGGCGTGTTACAGCCAAGGCGGTTTTCCATAGCTGTTTGAGGCGATTGAGCCAGACAAGCTGGCGTATAATGGCTGCAGCGCTGCCTGGGAGGCACTGGGGAGGGCGCAATGACTGGGGCTCTTGTCTGACCCTAAATACCACAATGACCCAAGCAGCAGGCAGCCCGCCACTAAGGAGGCAGAAATGTAGTGTGTATGTGTATGTCTGAGTAAGTGTAAGTCAGGGAATTTGAAAAAAAGTCCAGTGAGTAAAGACAGAGGTGCAAAAAAGAGGGAATTATACAGTGGAAGCAGAGGAGAAGCTGTATGGAAGTTTCTAAGGGCCAGAGGGGCCAAATATGCAGCTCTTTTTGATAAGCTAATTCAAATGCAAGAAAGTCAGTCAAAACCTTCTCTGGAATTACAATTTCTGAAACGCATTTACATTTTTGTGACTAAGCCTCATCCTGGCGGAGACGAATTTGAGACCGGCGTCTGTTAAAAAAGCATACACATTCCTCCATGTGTCTATAGTTTAAATAACTGTGGTCACATGGTCAAACTGGACCCATTCAGAAAGCCATACCAGAACACAACACAGCATCAAAACTGGACCAAGACTGTTCCTATAGCGGCTCCCAACTTTCTCGCGGTCTAGTTGTTTATTCCAGAGTATCTGAGTGCTTTTAGGAGACATCACTCCAACAAATGGGAAACATGAGAGCCTATTTCACTTGGATGCTCATTTTGGTTCTTCTCTAGAAATGCATCACGGCCTGAATAGCCATTCAAAGTCACGACCATGCCACGCTGAATGAGCAGCTGTGGTATAGTCCTCCATCAGCCTTCTGCTTGACATGGAGATGTCAGCCCCGGGACACAATATTAGCCGCGTTCACCACAGCTAAACAACATTGTTATCAGCATAATAGTCCTCGTGGCCTAGTCTGAGCTCCTCTCAAAGCCCTTTGTCCGGCTATAGATGGAGGCAGCTAAAAGGTCGGTCCACAACACGCTCGGAGAGGCCG